GGAAGCACTGTCTGACGCGTCTGTCTCCGCGACCCGAAAGGAGAAGCGGCGATGGAAGATGAAGATGAAGATGGCCATCCTCCTGGACGCATAGAATTCTTCAGCCTAACTTTCTCACGACTGGTCAGAGAATGAAGCATCATTGTTAAGAACTACTCATTGTTTGATGTTTTTCAAGTGCTATGATGGTCATTCCATGGTGTTCGCTATTCGTACTCTGTTTTCGTTTGGATGCTAACTTTTACCGTTGTATCGTGCTGAAAAATGGTGTCTGTTGTGGTAGCATTTAAGCAATCAAGTTTCAGCTTTAACTAAATGTAAATGTCTGTCTTTGGTGTAAACTGTGACTATGAAGAATTGTTAAAACGCCAAGAAATAGCTAATGAACGTAGAATAATACCAGCTACTCACCGAATAGTAACAGCGTTTGAAAATTTTAGACGCAAGGACGTTTTACTAACTATCTGATCCAATCGTGACAAGTTACATGATGACGAGGACATGGAAGATTATCGAGGTTAAAATTCACTACCTGAAATTCTCATATTACATATGTGTATTCAATGCTGCTGAAATTATAAGCTCTATCGAAACCAATTACCATTTCGTTATTGTGTATCTGACAAGAAAGCCTATTGAAAATTTATTGGATGACAGTAACAGAACACAAAGTTCCGAAAGAATTTCCCATACAACTGTAGCAGCTCAACAAAAACGCAACAAAATATGTGGCAGCACAATGTACAAGATAATGATTGAAGCTTTCGAGTCATTTTTGAAGAGTACGCAGGCTCCAGCAGTTTCACAACCCCCCCTCTGCTGTTTGCTTGAGCTTGCCATGGCAGTTCCAACAGAAAATATTCATTGTGAAAAAGTGACGTTGCAGTTAATTCACGTTCCTGTCGCATCTCAGCTTCTTTTCTAATAAAAATCACTGAAAGAAGAACAAGATTATAAGCCTCGTGAAGCAGCTAAGGCCGCGATCTGAAAAAAAAACTAAAGAATTTTGCAATAAATACCGATATTTAAAACTTGCTCATTTGAATCATTTTATTACAACTCGCAAATATTCTACGACGAGCTAAGCATGCATAAACATCTGGTGAGGTCTGCGGTAAAACTGAGCTACATCAATGTCGAATGGTACGCAACTCTATGCAATATTTGATTCATAAACCCTTGTAAAATCGCAGCGGTCTCTTTCACCGTGCTCCCATCTCGTGTCTTCTAAACAAATTCTTCCCGACATTACTGCATGGCAACGAACTACTAAAATTGCAATCTAGTTACAAAACGATTCACCCATGGTTCATTGACTAACTGAATTTCTGATTGACGCATTTCTCATAATGAACGGTAAATTTTCTCCTCAAAATGGTAATGAACTTTAGCTCTAAAAACGATATGTACCGCTGATTACTTCAACTGTTGTCATTTTGCAAAATTAAACTAAATTAAATTAATAAAGGAAACAATAAATTAAATGGTATATCATCAGTTAAAACATTAAATTTAAATGCATCAGGAATTACCTTTTCTATGCTTAGCTTTTCCTTTTAGGCGCCATTCGAAAACAAGGAGATACAAAGATATTATAATGAATGAACTGTCCTTCATGCGCAGAGAGCCACATTTGACAAACCAGTAGAAAGCGGAACAGCCGAACCGGGAAATACATGGGTACTATCGGAAGAGCAGAAGAGAAGGGTTCCACCTTTACTGTGCACAGCACACTAAAGACTAATACCATACAAAGGGATGCATGGAGCACTGTGGCAACGAATCCAACTTACGACACAATAAGATTTTGCAAACGGTCACTGTTGAATGAACAAAACGCAAGTTTAACAGGCCGAAAGAAACGTGCAAAATCAATCAGTTATTTCTTTCTCTGTTACATCATTAAGTCATCAATATATACTGCTTTACCTCACTCGTGTTTTTCGTCACATGCTTATTATCATATTGTTGCAATCACTCGGTAGTACCCAAAATATTCAAAGGCAAAAAACAGTCATGACCCTAGCATCAAAATAGAGCTGATCACCCAATAAATGAGAGGACAACTGTACCTGGTTCAGCCGTTCCCCCAAGTGGTTCTCAACCTTAAGATACAAGGTTGTTCCTGATCTTGCTCCTGAGGCAATAGAAGTAACACAATACCTGCATTTGAACCCAACTTTTAAATAAACTGTTTGTAAACTTCATCTGAAACCAGTGCATAAACAGCCTTAAAAACTTCTTTTGAAGAATACCCACTACTTTAAACATTGTGCGAATGCCTCCAGAAAGGAAGGCTAAGCAACTGTTCCTTGCAAATCCGACCGGCAAAAGGCCCAGGGG